GAAATTCAAGAAAGATTCATATGTTCGCCACACTTCGTTTCAAGCTAAACTAACAGTCTAACCCAAAAATTCTACAAGTAAAGGGGGAAAAGAAACATACAAATAATTCGTTACTTGAGCATTTAAACAGGATATTCACCGGGGCACTTACTGATATTTCAAATTTACTTCTGTTTTAACGCAAACAGTAGATTCACTGATATTCCTTGAAGATGAAAGACAATTCAGTTTAGTCGCTTTACGGTGTCGAAATCCTTTAAACTATCCAAGCAATCCAAATTTTGCCACCATTTCTGTAAGATATTGTGCTGCACGAACAACTGGAACCAAGGCGAAAATGATACTTCGTCACCTAAAACGAACAATTTTATAGTCAATCACCGGGGTAAAAGTGCCCGAAGCAATCACATCTGACCATCAAATACTGCTGACCATTCCAGCTGGCGCATGAATTGACAAAATTTTTTTTTTGAAAAACACAGGATTAAGGCAGGTAATTGATTTTATTGAAAGAAACTATTTCTAAAATGTCAAACCCAAAAGCCAAAACCCGTACCCGAACAAAAATACAACGAACCCCACTTCTGAAGGAGAATAAAACTTGGAAGTTCAAAAGCTTACAGTGCCTGTAACTCCTAATTTTTCAAAGTATACACAGCAAATATTAGTGAAACAAAAGTAATAAAGTCAGAAAATCCTAGAAAAGGAAAAAAAAATATTTTTCGTGCGATCTTCCAAGCTTTTTTCGAAATTACGTGATGTAAAATTTCGTGCGAAATCTGCCACGAAAGTTTTGTGAAAAGCCAGTAAAAACTATATTTGTTACATAACGGTTGCAGCGCCAGACCACATAAAGCAGTCTGTACGGGAATGGCATACTTACAGATTACAGGCGCTCCAGTGAGTAGACGCCGCACAAAACCCGGTGGTGTAGTGGATAACTCGTCACGTCCGGATGTGAAGGGAAGTGGTTCGAATCCCCGTTGGCTCACAGCCATTTTTGAAAAGTGACTCCATTCGCAAAAATAATTTTATAATTAAAGAAAAAGAAAAAAAAAACATACTTTTCATCATCTCGTCCAATTTTTTTGGCGAAACAATCGCAATTTCGTCCACTTCTTCCGGATTTCGCCTCAGTTGCTCAACGTCAAAATCACGAATCACAAGAGCATGATCAATTTCATGTTCACCCCACTTATTGTTATGCATTATAGACTTATATAAAAATCGGCCCATCACCTGAGAAATAAAAAAAATCTGCATAGTGCCGAAGAAAGTTGACAAGTATGTATAAATTCTTTCAAAAAATTGCAAGTTATCACTCTGACTCTTGGAACAAAGACCGTAAAATACAGGCAAAAAATATCCAAAAAATTAGGAAAGGCGCTTTTTTTGATAAAAATTTGCTTCCCGATGAAGTAGTTTATCGGATTCAACACATATCAACGGTAATATTCTCATGGGTGAAACCAGTAATCAGTAAAAAATATCTTCATTTTAATGCAACAGTATTTCAAAATAGCTGCATTTATACTTTTAAATACATTTTCATCCCTTGAAAAAGTAGCAAATGAATTGCAAAAAGCAAATGCATACCTCCATTTTTTCGATATCGACCGTTTCGATGCCCAATTCATGGTTCAGTTTTCTCTTGGCAGCACGCCGAACTCCGATATCGCCCTCCTCAACACTCATTTCATAACTGTTCCACAGCGGATGACTACAGCATGCATTTGTCCACATCGATGGAAAAGTTATCTTTTGGGCGGATCGCTTTTGCAAAATCATATTCTGGCTGCTGGTGAACAGAAAAACGCTGAAGGCACGATGCAGAGTCACTGAAAAAAAAAGAAAAAAATACATTCTGAAGAAATACATTCCATTTCTTGCTAAAACTTACAATTTATTCCTTTTTTTCCCAGCAAATTTTTACTTTTTTTACAAAAACTCAATACTTACATGTTTCACTGGAATGACAAAATCGTTTGGTACCGGGACGCAGTGGTTTATCCTGTTCATTAACAATTATACACTGTTCATCCATATATTTGTTCTGCATACTTATCGTTGCTGTTTTAAACAATTTTTGCCCGTTTTGCCTGAAAAAAA